ACAGGATAGGGGCAAAGAGCACCAAGAAACCAGACACTGCAAACAGGATAGGGGCAAAGAGCACACAGAAACCGTTAAGAGCAACAAGAAACCAGACACGGCAAACAGGATAGGGGCAAAGAGCACCAAGAAACCGGACACGGCTAACAGGATAGGGGCAAAGAGCACCAAGAAACCAGACACGGCAAGCAGGATAGGGGCAAAGAGCACCAAGAAACCAGACACGGCAAACAGGATAGGGGCAAAGAGCACCACGAAGCCAGACACGGCAAACAGGATAGGGGCAAAGAACACCAAGAAACCAGACACGGCAAGCAGGATAGGGGCAAAGAGCACCAAGAAGCCAGACACTGCAACCAGTATAGGGGCAAAGAGCACCTAGAAACCACACACGTCAAACAGGATAGGGGCAAAATGCACCGGAAAACCAGATACGGCAAACAGGATAGGGCAAAGAGCACCAAGAAACCAGACACGGCAAACAGGATAGTGGCAAAGAACACCAAGAAACAGGATAGGCGCTAAGAGCACCCAGAAACCACACGCGGCAAACAGGATAGGGGCAAAGAGCACCAAGAAACAGGATAGGGGCAAAGAGCACCAAGAAACAGGATAGGGGCAAAGAACACCAAGAAACCAGACACGGCAAACAGGATAGGGTCAAGAGCACCAAGAAACCAGACACGGCAAACAGGACAGGGGCACAGAGCACCAAGAAACCAGACACGGCAAACAGGACAGGGGCAAAGAGCACCAAGAAACCAGACACGGCAAGCAGGATAGGGGCAAAGAGCACCAAGAAACCGGACGCGGCAAACAGGATAGGGGCAAAGAGCACCAAGAAATCAGACACGGCAAACAGGATAGGGGCAAAGAGCACCAAAAAAGCCAGACACGGCAAACAGGAGAGGGGCAAAGAGCACCAAGACACCAGACACGGCAAACAGGATAGGGGCAAAAAGCACCAAGAAGCCAGACACGGCAAACAGGAGAGGGACAAAGAGCACCAAGAAGCCAGACACGGCAAACAGGAGAGGGGCAAAGAGCACCAAGAAACCAGACACGGCAAGCAGGATAGGGGCAAGTAGCACCACGACACCAGACACGGCAAACAGGATAGGGGCAAAAAGCACCAAGAAACCACACACGGCAAACAGGATAGGGGCACAGAGCACCAAGAAAACACACACCGCAAACAGGACAGGGGCAAAGAGCACCAAGAAACCACACACGGCAAACAGGATAGGGGCAAAGAGCACCACGTGGCACACAGGATAGGCGCAAAGAGCACCAAGAAGCCAGACACGGCAAACAGGATAGGGGCAAAGAGCACCGAGAAACCACGCACGGCAAACAGGATAGGCGCAAAGAGCACCCAGAAACCACACGCGGCAAACAGGATAGGGGCAAAGAGCACCAAGAAACCAGACACGGCAAACAGGATAGGGGCAAAGAGCACCAAGAAACCAGACACGGCAAGCAGGATAGGGGCAAAGAGCACCAAGAAACCAGACACGGCAAACAGGATAGAGGCAAAGAGCACCAAGAAGCCAGACACGGCAAACAGGATAGGGGCAAAGAGCACCAAGAAACCAGACACGGCAAGCAGGATAGGGGCAAAGAGCACCAAGAAGCCAGAGACTGCAACCAGTATAGGTGCAAAGAGCACCTAGAAACCAGACACTGCAAACAGGATAGGGGCAAAATGCACCGGAAAACCAGAACGGCAAACAGGATAGGGCAAAGAGCACCAAGAAATCAGACACGGCAAACATAGGGGCAAAGAGCACCAACAAACCAGACACGGCAAACAGGACAGGGGCAAAGAGCACCCAGAAACCAGGCACGGCAAGCAGGATAGGGGCAAAAAACGGAGAAACCAGACACGGCACACAGGATAGGGGCAAGTAGCACCACGAAGCCAGACACGGCAAACAGGATAGGGGCAAAGAACACCACAAAACCAGGCAAGGCAAACAGCATAGGGAAAAGAGCACCAAAAAACCACAAACGGCAAACAGGATAGGCGCAAAAAGCGGCAAGAATCCAGACACGGCAAATAGGCGCAAAGAACACCAAAAAAAACCACACACCGCAAACAGGACAGGGGCAAAGAGCACCAAGAAACCACACACGGCAAACAGGATAGGGGCAAAGAGCACCAAGAAGCCAGACACTGCCACCAGGATAGGGGCAACAAACACCAAGAAACCACACACGGCAAACAGGATAAGGGCACAGAGCACCAAGGAAACACACACGGCAAACAGGATAGGGGCAAAGAGCACCAAGAAACCACACACGGCAAACAGGATAGGGGCAAAGAGCACCAAGAAACCAGACACGGCAAACAGGATAGGGGCAAAATGCACCGGCGGGAAACCAGATACGGCAAACATTAAAGGGCAAAGAGCACCAAGAAATCAGGCACAGCAAACAGGATAGGGGCAAAGAGCACCAAGAAACCAGACACGGCAAACAGGATAGGGGCAAAGAGCACCAAGAAAACACACACGGCAAACAGGATAGGGGCAAAGAGCACCAAGAAACCACACACGGCAAACAGGATAGGGGCACAGAGCACCAAGAAACCAGACACGGCAAACAGGATAGGGGCAAAGAGCACCAAGAAACCAGACACGGCAAACAGGATAGGGGCAAAATGCACCGGGAAACCAGACACGGCAAACAGGATATGGCAAAGAGCACCAAGAAACCAGACACGGCAAGCAGGATAGGGCAAAGAGCACCAAGAAACCAGACACGGCAAACAGGATAGGGGCAAAGAGCACCCACAAACCACACGCGGCAAACAGGATAGGGGCAAAGAACACCAAGAAACCAGACACGGCAAACAGGATAGGGGCAAAGAGCACCAAACAACCAGACACGGCAAACAGGATAGGGGCAAAGAACACCAAAAAACCAGGCACGGCAAACAGCATAGGGCAAAGAGCACCAAGAAATCACAAACGGCAAACAGCATAGGCGCAAGGAGCACCCAGAAACCACACGTGGCACACAGGATAGGCGCAAAGAGCACCAGGAATTCAGACACGGCAAACAGGATAGGGGCAAAGAGCACCAAGAAACCAGACACGGCAAACAGGATAGGCGCAAAGAGCACCAAGAGACCAGACACGGCAAACAGGATAGGGGCAAAGAGCACCAAGAAACCAGAGACGGCAAACAGGATAGGGGCAAAGAGCACCAAGAAACCAGACACGTCAAACAGGATAGCGGCAAACAGCACCAAGAAGCCAGACACTGCAACCAGGACAAGGGCAAAAAGCACCAAGAAACCACACACGGCAAACAGGATAGGGGCACAGAGCACCAAGAAAACACACACGGCAAACAGGACAGGGGCAAAGAGCACCAAGAAGCCAGAAACCAGACGGCAAACAGGATAGGGGCAAAGAGCACCCAGAAACCAGACACGGCAAACACGATAGGGGCAAAGAGCACCAAGAAACCAGACACGGCAAACAGGATAGGGGCAAAGAACACCAAGAAACCAGACACGGCAAGCAGGATAGGGGCAAAGAGCACCAAGAAACCAGACACGGCAAACAGGATAGGGGCAAAGAGCACCAACAAACCAGACACGGCAAACAGGATAGGGCAAAGAGCACCAAGAAATCAGACACCGCAAATAGGATAGGGGCAAAGAGCACCAAAAAATCCAGACACGGCAAACAGGATAGGGGCAAAGAGCACCAACAAACCAGACACGGCAAACAGGATAGAGGCAAAGAGCACCAAGAAACCAGACACGGCAAACAGGATAGGGGCAAAGAGCACCAAGAAACCAGACACGGCAAACAGGATAGGGGCAAAGAGCACCCAAAAACCAGACACGGCAAGCAGGATAGGGGCAAAGAACACCAAGAAACAGGATAGGGGCAAAGAGCACCAAGAAACCAGACACGGCACACAGGATAGTGGCCAAGAGCACCAAGAAGCCAGACACGGCAAACAGGATAGACGCAAGAGCACCAAGAAACCAGACACGGCAACCAGGATATGGGCAAAGAGTACCAAGAAACCAGACACTGCAAACAGGATAGGGGCACAGAGCAGCAAGAAAACACACATGGCAAACAGGATACGGGCAAAGAGCACCAAGAAACCAGACACGGCAAACAGGATAGGGGCAAAGAACACCAAGAAACCCGACACGGCAAACAGGATAGGGGCAAAGAGCACCAAAAAGCCAGACACGGCAAACAGGATAGGGGCAAAGAACACTAAGAAACAGGATAGGGGCAAAGAGCACCAAGACACCAGACACGGCAACCAATATAGGGGCAAAGAGTACCAAAAACCAGACACCAAGAAACCACACGGCAAACAGAATAGGGGCAGAGAACACCAAGAAACCAGACACTGCAAACATCATAGGGGCAAAGAGCACCAAAAAGCAGACACGGCAAACAGGATAGGGGCAAAGAGCACCAAGAAACCAGGCGGCAAACAGAATAGGGGCAAAGAACACCAAAAAACCAGACACTGCAGACAGGACAAGGGCAAAGAGCACCCAGAAACCAGACACGGCAAACAGGAGAGGGGCAAAGAGCACCAAGAAGCCAGACACTGCAAACAGGATAGGGGCAAACAGCACCAAGAAAACAGACACGGCAAACAGGATAGGGGCACAGAGCACCAAGAAAACACACACGGCAAAAAGGACAGGGGCAAAGAGCACCAAGGAACCACACACGGCAACCAGGATAGGCAAAGAGCACCAAGAAGCCAGACACAGCAAACAGTTGTGGACAGAGAGAAGAGTTCCAAAGCTTACGAGAAGGACCTTGAGGACAAGGCGAGGATCTTGGCCACGAAGGTGAAGGAAGCTGACAAAGAAAAGAAGGAACTGGAAGGAAGAGAAAGAAAGCTAAGAGGAGAGACTGACCTGGTTCGACGACGAGAGGAGAGACTACGCCAGGAACCACGCCGAGAAGGTAGTCAAAGAAGCAAAGGACGAACTCCAGGCAGAGATGGACAAGCTCAAGAAAGAACAGAAGGAGAGAAACCACTCGAAGACCTAGAGTACAACCACAAGGAGATAGTGAACGAGCTGCTGTACTACAAGGACTACTCCCAAGAAGCAGACAAGGTGAACGTGGACCTGAAGGTAAAGCTTTCCAAGAAGAAAGTCAGGTGAGAGAACTTAAAGAGAGTCTTGGTGTTGCAGTTGAGGAGAGCGACTACGACGAGGAGGACCAGGACCTTCAGGACCAACAAGGACAGGAGAAGCAGCCCAAGAAGGAAGAAGTGAAGCCAAAAGAAGGGAAGAGTGAGAGAAAGAGCGACCCACAGCAAGAACAGAGCAGCCAAGGAAAAGGCGTCTACAAGCCCGAGGACATCACAGAGTTCACGGAACTGGGCTTCGTGTGGCACTACAACAAAAAGACCCAAGAATACAGGGTCCACAGAACGGACCAGAAGGGCTCGAAGCCCATGAACAACACGCCGGTGAAGGGCAAGAAGCTGTGGCAGAAAGTGTGCGAAGTGTACCGCACCTGCCACGTGTGGTTCTCCGACGCCGACGAGATGGAGCAGTACCTGAAGAAGAAGGAAGACGACAGGATCCGCGAGACTGTCGAGCAGCAAGTCCAGGAACGCCTTGACCAAGAACGCCAAGAACAGCAAAGTAAGGGAAAGGACCCCTACGCAGCAAAAGGCTGGGACTCCTGGAGCTGGGACGCTGGCTGGGCCAACGATGCCTGGAACTGGGACAGCCAGTGGGAAGACTCCCAGTGGCAAGACTGGCAGTGGCAAGGCAAAGGAAAGAGCAAAGATAAGAAGGGCAAGGGACCACCGTCGTGGACCCAGTGAGCCCAAGAAGGAGCTTCAAGAAGGTCAAGCAGTGAGCATGTATATATGTACATAGCAGGAACGTAAGCCTTGATGTATCATAGCAAGAATTCATGTACAAAGAAGTGAGCAAATGTATAGACGTAGGAAACCGGGGCAGTAAGCCTAGGTAGTACTACAACCTTCCAAAGTCTCACAAGAAGTTTCACACAGGTAAGGAGGACTAGGAAAGGTACCAGGTGCCAGAAGGGGCAAGAAGCCGGTGAGCCAAGAAACAAAAGAAGATGCCCGAAAGAAGAAAAGGGACGTAGGCTAAGTAAGTCCCAAGGAAACCCTGGTACGGGCCTCCAGGCAAAGAGCCCATAGGCTGGGCCTAACTAAAAAGTAGTTGTACAAACAGGAAGTAAGTTTTTGGTTCCTTGTACAGACATACAGGAACCATGTACAGCATCTCAAGAAGGCGGGGCATCTGCAGGTAAGTAAAAGACCCGAGAAGGAGACGAAAAGTCCTTACCAGAAGCGGTGTACAGAAAGCCCGCGAAGTTTCCACAAGTACCTACCGGACCCCCGGAACCTCCGCAACCTTTCTGAGGCGGGGTGTTCGATGTCAAGACTGTTCACAGTGCATGTGTAGGAACAGTTTTACAGGTAGGAGTGGAGTGCAGGAACGCATGTAGAAACATGCGAACTCCGTTGCGTGAAGGCTTTAACAGTCAGCCCGCGAAAGTAGAAAAAGAACCGCTTTGTTAGTGTGTGTGGAAGGATGGCTGAAGATGCCATCATTTCGAACAGGGGTACAAACGATTTTTGACCTTGGAGTTTCACGTGATTTTCTCCTTTGCTTTACTGCATTTTGCTTCGAGCTCCTGTTGGTTCACTTGTGAAGCTTTCTACCGACCACAGGCTTTTAGCAGTTCGAGATTGGAAAATCTTCGTACAAGGAAAGAAGGAAGGAAAAGGAAAGCAGGAAGGAAAAGGCAGGAAAGGCCCAAAGGAGAGAGCAGCAGCAACAAACTTTGTTCCCGGAGACGAAGAAGACAGGAAGTACTGGGAAGCGATGGACAGGCAGCAGAAGGAAAAGCAAAAGATGAAGGAACAGGAGGCAGCAAAGAAGGCAGAAGAAGAGGAGCGCAACAAAGCCAAAGCAAGGAAGATTTTGGAAGAGGCAGCTGAGGAGAACGAACGGCAACAGGCCGAAGCCGAGGCAGCAGCAAAGGCAGCAAAGGAAGCAGAGGAAGCGGCAGCAAGAGAGGCCAAGGACCAAGAGAAGAAGAGAAAGGAGAAAGAAGCAAGGAAGAAGAGAGAACAGGAGCAAAAGGAAAATGCAGCGTACTTGGCACGCAAGAAGGAAGAGAAGGAAGCAGCCGCAGCAGCAGAAGAGGAAGGAAACAGGATCAAGAAGCTAGAAAAGATGATGGAGCAGCTACTTGAGGAAAGGAAGGACGACAAGAGCAAGATTGCACACCTGCAGCAGGAACTCGAAAGCAGAGGATCGCAGGCAGCAGCCTCGCAAGCAGAGGAAAGAGAGGAAGAAGAAGCACCAGGAAAAGGACAAGGAGAGGAGCATGACACAGAGGAGCATGAAGAGAAGGACCAGGAAAAGGAAAAGGAGCCGGAAAAGGAGAAGGATAAGGAAGATGAAGTCGGACCACAAAGGAAAAGGAAACTCCGAAGACAAAGGTCATGGATGGAAGTTTGTGGACAACGCCAAGTACTACTACGAAGTTTAAGGAAGACCAAAGGAAAAGCTACAAGGACCGGTGAGGCCAGAGTGCCAGAGGAAAGTGTGACCCTCTCTGCAACTCAGGAAGACCGTACAGTGCAGGACAGTTTTGCACTAGGAACTTTTTTCTTCGAGTGCGCGGCTGATGATCCAGGTAAAGTGCTAATGCAACTTTGTACAGGAACCAGCAACCTTGGAGAGGATTGCGAGTGAACGGTAACGTTTGCGCCAGGAACAAGAGTTTGGTTGTGAGTAAAAGGAACCACAGCTTTCAGTACTGTCGTGTGTAGGACGTGTCGAAGCCAGTTTGGTAAGGAACTTACCGGCACTAAGTTCGAAGGCGGGGTGTTAAACATTTCCCCTGTGACAGTACAGCTGTAGGAACACTACTGTAAACGCCAGCACACGACTTCCGCGTGACAGGCTCGAGACCCAGCGGACACAGCGCCCGTAGCAGGAAAAGTGACCGCTTCAGTTTGTGCTTTAGGAACCGTAGTGAAGTCCGTTCTTTAACATTCTGGCAAAGAAGCAAATTTGGCAACCCCCCATGACAGTTGCAGTTCCTTCGATTGGGCTGCCAGTTCCACCACCCATGGATCAAACATACAACGCCAGGGACCTTGCGTAAACAGAGCTCCAATGCGGGCATCCCCCCATCCCCGAATTCTTGCTCAAAGCAACTCTGCACTCATGCTGTGGACTTGGTGTTGAGGGGAAATGTATTCGCGTAGCTGTACCCCGGTGCAGACTTTCAGGTTTTATCAGCACCATCTGTTAGGGCTCCAAAAATGCTACGAGCCCGAGAGTGCCTAATCCGTGATCCCATGGCTTCGGCGTCGTGGAATGCTTCTCGCACGCCAGGTCGTGCCTTCTGTGGGACGTTGGCCTGGCACATGCAAGAGCATGATGGTGTGGAAAATTACCGACCAGCAAGTTGTCCTTACTCCAGATTCGTGACGGTTTGTTCCGTATTGAGATAACTAAGCTGTAGCGTTTGCTTTCATGTATCGGTATGGGATGGGGCCGTTCAGCATCTTACAGCCACGTCACTGCTGCGTTTCCTTTCCGAAGGTTTTCGTTTCTGCCCAAAGATCATGATGCTTGAAAGTTGATGTTTGACGCAGCCAATTCCGCAGAAAAACATGTGGGGTTAGGAATGAGCGAATGCCCTTAGTCAACCATGCATACTTGGACGAACTTAAAGCCCAAAGCCACCAAGACCAGAACCACAAACCCGGCGGTGCAACAGCTTAGCTCATTGATAAGTTTCGCGTCAGGCAGTCAATTGTGACTTCTTGCTTGGCTTTGCCCCCGGTAAATCCCCGGCATAGTTCGGACTCTTGTGGTGATCATGCGCAAACACGGTTCATGTATGTGCATGCAACGTCTCATGTTGTGTGCTAGCGATGCTGACGCGGCGGGACGGAACATGCAGAATCTGTTTGTCAGATTCTTCGCGAGCAGGCCAAACAGGGGCCAGCCATGCTAGGCAAACACATTGTTGAAGATTGCACCGAGATCCGCATGAATCCGTATGTACTCTGTAGAATGATGCTGTAGGCGCGCGCTCTGCTGCCCATGGTAATTTACACTGTGCACATCTCAACGGGAAGACTTCAATCTCACATTAAAGCGGTTCTGACGGCACTCAAGATCGTGTAGCTGATTGGGGTAACTTCGGGGAGGGATGGTGTAAAGTGAAGCGAGGGAAATTCATGCTGGGAGGATCTTGGGATGTTGGAGAGAGCTCTGGGCCGAGATAGACGGATTAGATGGACTCCCAACCTCTGTGCTCCTGCATCCCAAACCTGCTGCGGAAGCAACATCAACACAATCACTGTTATTGCGATGGTGGCCATGACATATTTTACTTCAGAGTTGCAGTTAAAACTACCCGTGGTTTTGCATTAGTCATGAGATGCTAGCTGCAACAGAAGCCCATGCCGACAACACCCATGTCTAACTCTAAACAACAGGTACCTCCCCTGTCGAGTCATGAGAGGTATGCATCGGGTCGAGTTTGATTGAACACAACCCCTGGAACTTTTGTTTGCAACAAGCTGTTGAGGGCCTGCGCTGTGCAGCCGTAGTTGAACTTTGCCAGTTCAGTCGGTTATATAAGTAAACACAATGCAGTCACAGCATCAAGCATTCCATTGAGAACTCCATGTAGCTAGCCGACTAAGATAGCATTCGTCGCTTTCCATCCCCCCAGAACCCACACCGCCTGGAAGGCAGTTCGAAACATGAGCGGCCGCACCGTCGACAGCACGAACGGGAGTCTGCCTTGCGGCTGAAGATACTCGCAAGCCTAGTTTCAGCCATTGACAGCCTACTTGTAAAGAGCAGAATCATTCCTGAGGGTTCACCGCAAGAGCAGATGAGCGTTGTCGTGTGTGCCCAGGTCCTCAAGATGAGACCACATCCTGTTCGGCGGACTCTCTGCTGCACTGCTGAGAGGAAAAACAGCAAAGTGTTTGCATCTGCACTGAAGGTGCTAAAGGCTGTGAGAGGTTTGGAGGCAGATAGCACCTATGTTGGAGGCTCTCCCCTTCAATCCCGGATCTTCCACTGCCGAAGCCGCCGGAGTGACATGAGATCCTGAAGCCTTTTGGCTCCGTATCACACCAAACCGCCTGGGTGAACCGGGCATCTCATGTCACGAAGTTCGCATCATTGCCTATGTTTCAGCCGTCCAGGGCCAGGGACGCCTCTGCCTCACACGTCTCTTCCACAGCTGTAGGGCCTGCATCCCAAGCTGAGTTAGTTTAACGCTCGTTGGCACCCTGCCCTAGCGGCCTCATTGCCAGCCGACTGCGTTCCTGTGTCCGCCAGGCGGAACCAGCGGTCTGCACCAGCATTCTTTTGCTTCTCTAGAGATGCCCTCAAGCCTAAACCCTGCGAAGTCAGCGAAAATACACGCCGAGCCCTGCAAACACCCCCTGCCAAGACACCAAACTCACAAACAACGGTAAATTACATCGCAATCGAAGGTTGTTACGGTGGGAAAAGCCGCCTCGAAGAGTGCAGAGGCTGCAGGAGATGCAGCCCATCCCGGGACATTCGACGACCTACCAGGCGCGGCTAAGGGCCAGGAGCAAAAGGGCTCTACAAGCAGGGGTTGAGAGCGTCTTGCTAGGCTTTTACCCTTTTGCTCGGCTGTTGCTGGGGTTTCTCGACTACATGCTGCTTTCATGTTTTGCATCGCCATGGGGCTTTGTTAAGCCTCGGGGCCTTTATACTGGGAGGTAGGCTGTTCGGGGTTTGTAGTGGTCCCGGTGTTACGAAACGCTAGTGCCATTCCTGATCAGAAGCTGTTAAGAACCCGAAAACCTAAACGTATCCCTGAAACCCTTAAACCCACAACAGCTGTTTTGATATTTAACAAGGGCGAAACCCCTTTGAAGCCTCTTTTGAGAACCTTCATGAACACTTCCTTAGGACCCTTAAGGAGCCCCTATCAAGACCGTTGGAGAACTCGCATGATTTTTGTTTGAGTCTGTCTAACCTGCTCTTGAACTGTCCAAACACCCAGAAGCCTTGTAGAACCTTGATAGAAACCAGTCTAGAACCTATACCAACAGCTACGGAGTGTTCTTATATGAAATCCCAAAGCGGCCCTGCGCAGGTCCTCAAGCAAGGGCAGGGTTCTGACCTGGTGCATGCCTTAGTGGTCAGGTGCAAGGGCTTGGACGACCGTGGTGAGTCAAGCGTTTTATTGGGTTTCTGACAACTACTATTTGCTTAAGAACCCCCAAAAAATAAAAAAATATAATCCCTATTTTATCCCTAGAAGGAATATATTTTTTATTTTTTGGGGGTTCTTAAGCAAATAGTAGACAATACTGTACTAAGGACCTAACAAGGCCTGTTTAAGGAAGTATAATGAAGTATAGTTCCCTACCCCCCGTCCCCCTTAGGCCCCTAAGGGTCCCTATGACTTATGTGTCTTTTTCGGGGTCCCTTCAGGCATATTTGGCATCGGATCCCACAGGTGGAGCCCCAAAGCCTTAACCCTCGGCCCCACGACCATAAGGCTGAACGGTTTTTTCTGGTCTGAAAATGCCTTGGGTTTCTGCAGCAAGGTTGTCAAAGTGACTTAGCATTCTGCGATTAGTAGAGGTGGGCATGATTGCGCATGTCATGAGGCTTCAAGCGTTTCAGATCTGTTCGCATAGCTTGGGTGCTGTATCTTTGTGTGCACGTTGAATTTGTCGAGCTGCCAATGTGTCTTTCGGTCAAGATGTTGGGGGGGGGGGGGGGCGTAACATGGCAAGCGTGCATCATTGTAAAGGGAAATCAGGGAGATGTTGTTGAAGATTATGCAGCACCACCTCAGCACCGTCAGTAGATTAAGAACACCATCGTCAGCACTGCACCATGATCATCGTCATCACCACTATCGCCATCGTCGTTGTCCTTACCATCGTAAGTAGTAGAAATCGCACCAGGCAGATATTGTAGGTACATGGAAGCTTGGTAGAGAAGCTACGGCTCCAATCGAAAGCTTTGGCGGCTGCTACTTGTAGTCAGTCGTAGTCGTCTCGAACGGAAACAATGGACAATCGAATCACAAATGAGTCCCAAATCCGGGGCTGGTTTGGAGCCTTCCGGGCGGTGTGGGGTTGCACAGATATCGGCGCTTTGGGGGCAGCTCCTGTTTTTCTCACGACGATGGATCGCGATTTGAATTATGCATGTGTAGGCTAGGGCCAGGGGTTGAGTGAAGGCACCCGAAACAAGCAACCCAGGCAGATTGGGGTTTGTCGTCCTTAGTTGTCACGACTTGTTTCGTCTATGAGGCCATGGCCGAGACCTGGATGACTTCGATGTGCGCATGCACTGCTCCAAGTTGGTGTACTCGAGCCTTGTCAGAGGGGTCTGTGGCTTCGTGAAAGAATGCTGAGGGGCCTTTGGCTCCAATGCCGTCGCAGAGGGCAACAAGAGGTGTGATCCACGACAGGATTCCAACATGATGCTCCCACATTGCTTCTGAGTTTGGATTTGAACCATGTGCCGGTTACAATGATCCCTGCATTCTTGAAGCCCGTTGGTTATGGGAAGTTTCGTGTGTTATTTGCTTTGCAGCGTGAAGGACGCTGAAGAGCCGATGATGCCGCATGAAGCAGAGGATTGAAAGCCACAGATTGCAAGCAGTTCCAATGACATTCTAGCTGCTACCAGTGCTGTTGTTATATACTCCAGGATATAACGGCAAAGCGCATGAACTCAACATTGGCAGGAACCAATGTCGGATAGATGCGAGCCCTTATCTTTGGATGCGCTGCCCCACGTGCAGCTCGAAAGCACAACGCATGTCAACTGCACATGTTGCCACAGTAATTATTTGACCAAGTTAAAAAGTAAGTTGTCATTGCGTGATGCATTGCAGGCTCGTGCCAGAGGTGTCGCGCTTCCTTCCAGCTGCTTGTCCTGCTGTTCTTGCGTTTTGCGCAGTGGGCCCTATTTCATTCGAATGTCTGAGGTACAAGATTTCCTTCCGTTGCGAGCAGCATGCCACATGGCTTCCGCCACGCAGGCGCATTGGGCGCCGCGTCGCGCAGTTTGCGCAGGTTTCGGGAAACCTGCGCCCACACGGGTGTCGCAGGGGGTTGGAAGTTCGGGGTTGGGTTGGGTTGGGTTGGGGGGGGGGAGTCCAGCAAGGGGCCTTACAAACCTATAGGTGCAAGAAGCAGGTGTTGGCTGTAAGCTTATATACGCCTTAAGCAGGAACCCAGGCGCAAATCTCCAAGGAGCGAATTGAACCCAGCTCAAGTGAAACCCAACAAGCGACTTGGCAGCCTGTTCCTTGAAAGGCCGTTGACGAGCTGCTCCGGATACCCCTACCGCGTGACATGACAAACGCTGCCAAGTCGCAGCCGATGAGTGCTGAGCAGCTGGAGGAAGTGTATGGTCCACGGAGGCTGAAGTACCCACAATGGGTGAAACGAGGGACCGATTGTTGCCTTCGACCAACTGTGCAATATTTGGGTGGCTTAGATTATTCCTTTCAAAGGCAAATGGCTGTCAAATTACAAAGACTGGAGCAAATGAAGGCTGCTGAGAAGCCGAAGCCGTGGAGTTGCTGGCTATGGGATGCATGCTGCGGCAGTACAATCTTGTACGAGATTGATGCCATGGAGTTGGTCGTTTAGAGCACACGCCCAGACAGTGTACCACCCCACCTCCTTTCTGCAAGCGAAGAGCCGCCAAGCCTTGCTGCCGCGCTTTGGAGCAACCGCTGGAGCAACCGCACACTGACGATCGGGAACGCGCAGATCAACGCCACTGGCGGCCTCGGGGACATGTACACCCAACAGCTTTCACCGGCCGCTGCTTCAAAAAAAAGGCGAGAAAGGCGTGTGGGCATTGCAGCTGCACGTCCATTGCGGGTTCAGCACGCACATACGATTTCGGTGCTTACAGGCGGTGCTGCAGTATACACCATGGAGCATTTGTTTGACCCGGCAACACCAAGTTGACTGAAGCTGTAAATTGAATTCCCTGTGGCACGGAGCAGCACACCCTTGGGAAGCAAAACACAAGAAGTAACTGTTTACATGCACCATGATCACCAATACTGCCCGAACATTGCTTTAGTAGCTTTCAGCCATGCCTTGCTTCTGCTGGAAACGCAAGGTGCGACACTTGTGTTTTCACGGATCTGGTCACAATGTTGGAGCGAGCCTCGGGATTCCCAGTCCTGTGACACCTGAACAGGAGAACCGCGCGCGTCAAGGCCGCCATGTACTCAGCGGCGGCTGAAAGCAAGCGCACGAAAGCAGTGGCATTTTTATGAAGGTTCCGACATGACCAGCACCGTGCAGTCGAAGGCGGGTGCTTGAGTTTGAATGGGTTTTTATCGTGGTCCGAGGGAGACCCGTCTCGGAGTCAGCGACAGGAGAACCGCGCGAGTCAAGGCAGCCATGGACTCAGCGGCGGGTGTAAGCAAACACAGGAATGCAGTGGCATTTTTCTGAAGGTTCCGACATGACCAGCACCGTGCAGTCGAAGGCGGGTGCTTGAGTTTGAATGGGTTTTTATCGTGGTCCGAGGGAGACCCGTCTCGGAGTCAGCGACAGGAGAACCGCGCGAGTCAAGGCAGCCATGGACTCAGCGGCGGGTGTAAGCAAACACAGGAATGCAGTGGCATTTTTCTGAAGGTTCCGACATGACCAGCACCGTGCAGTCGAAGGCGGGTGCTTGAGTTTGAATGGGTTTTTATCGTGGTCCGAGGGAGACCCGTCTCGGAGTCAGCGACAGGAGAACCGCGCGAGTCAAGGCAGCCATGGACTCAGCGGCGGGTGTAAGCAAACACAGGAATGCAGTGGCATTTTTCTGAAGGTTCCGACATGACCAGCACCGTGCAGTCGAAGGCGGGTGCTTGAGTTTGAATGGGTTTTTATCGTGGTCCGAGGGAGACCCGTCTCGGAGTCAGCGACAGGAGAACCGCGCGAGTCAAGGCAGCCATGGACTCAGCGGCGGGTGAAAGCAAACACAGGAATGCAGCGGCATTTTTCTGAAGGTTCCGACATGACCAGCACCGTGCAGTCGAAGGCGGGTGCTTGAGTTTGAATGGGTTTTTATCGTGGTCCGAGGGAGACCCGTCTCGGAGTCAGCGACAGGAGAACCGCGCGAGACAAGGCAGCCATGGACTCAGCGGCGGGTGAAAGCAAACACAGGAATGCAGCGGCATTTTTCTGAAGGTTCCGACATGACCAGCACCGTGCAGTCGAAGGCGGGTGCTTGAGTTTGAATGGGTTTTTATCGTGGTCCGAGGGAGACCCGTCTCGGAGTCAGCGACAGGAGAACCGCGCGAGTCAAGGCAGCCATGGACTCAGCGGCGGCTGAAAGCAAACAGAGGAATGCAGCGGCATTTCTCTGAAGGTTCCGACATGACCGGCGCCGTGCAGTCGAAGGCGGGTGCTTGAGTTTGAATGGGTTTTTATCGTCGTCCGACGGAGACCCGTCTCGGAGTCAGCGACAGGAGAACCGCGCGAGTCAAGGCAGCCATGGACTCAGCGGTGGCTGAAAGCAAACACAGGAAGGCAGTGGCATGTTTATGAAGGCTCCGACATGACCAGCACCGTGCAGTCGAAGGCGGGTGCTGGTCATGTAGCTTCACCGAAGCTTGATCAAGCCGTGCTCCAGAGTACGCCTCGCGGTTCATTCACAAGCCGTCCCACCCATTCCAAACCGCAAATTCTGCTGCTAGTTTACCTGAAAGATTAAGCGTTTGAAAACACATAGTCTTGGCTTTTATGAATCGCTAACAGGAAAAGCCGACCACAAGAAAACTTAAGCCCTAGAGAAGCGAATCCTCACCGACCATTCCTTAAATGCCTCGACACCCAGTCGCGAAAGCTAGCTTTGAGGAGCTTGCGGAAGTTGTCGTTTAAAGAATATTTGTGGGTGGTGGAAATCCAGGTTCGACTCCTTATTTTTCCTATTCCAAGAAATACGGTGGGGGGGGGAAGGGCCCGTAGACAATCAATATTGCTAGCAAGCCAATGGTTCTTGCATGCTGCTGCAGTGTTCATCCGACTTGTAGACACGACGCCGTTGAGGAAAGCTGAGTTGTCGGCGGTAACATCCAATGCATCGGCAGTCTTTCACATGCCCTTCCCCAGTTAATGCCCCTAGCAGTCGTGGCTCTCTTCTCAAGTTGACATAGATCGGCAAAGCCGCCCTGAACCGTCTTTCCAGATGTGGGTATTTACGGTGAATTGGCATCTGTGGCTGCTTTTTGATTGCACCGCAACAGGAGGCTGAACAGCTGCCAGCTTGCAGCCACGGACCTAGGGGCTTGTGCCAACATGCGTACATCGACCGTTTTGTGGAAGCCACGAGAAGCGCTACCGCACACTATTGCAAGCGTTGTCTGCATAATTTGCCTTTGTTCCATGCTGGCGAGTATTGACATGGCTTGGCAAGCGTTGGCACGCTCGTAGAAGTTCTGGCAGGTAATGACAGAAATTGACAAGTGCCGGCATCTATTGGCAGTAAGTATGATTCCTGTTCAAGGAACCCCGGCTGGATTCCTTCGGAGTCTTTCCGGAGCCGCTTGAAAAATCATTGATCATTAGTATGATTTGTATAGGATAGATGGTCCTGGTACTGTGTTTCTGGTTAGTGCTGAGTGGTGAGTTTTGATCGTAAACATTACCGACAAGGCTTGACAAATAGTGATTTGAGCTCGCAAATAGTATTTAATGCTCACATGTATCACAAGCACCGACACGTGTTTTTGCCTCGGTGTATCTTTGGTGTACTTCGATTTGGTCGGCCAGTTCGGTCGATTGTTACGTTTGTCAGTAAAGCGATACAAGGCACTACGAAGTGCAGTGCCCTATCAGCTTGCGTTGTCACCCTCGAACTCAATCGAATTCTGTGGTTAGCTAGCTCAGTTGCCGGCTATGGAAACAGCTGGCTCAATTACGTTTTGACGGAGGCTCGGGACTCTCATCAATGTGCCATTTGGTTGCTCCGTTTGCCTTTCCAGGTTGGAGGCTTACAGCGCGAGTGGCAGGATTTGCCAGCGCGCAGCCTCAGCAGACTCAGCAGCTTCTATTTTTCATTCAATTCTGAGCGAGCTGGCGATCAAAGCATTCTTACTTGAGGCAACGTGTCTGCAAGCTGGCATTGGGGATGTCATCTTGATGAGATCACGTAGCTACGTCTTCGGCCACACCCTGCTCATTGGCGCCGCGCTCGCTGCTGAGCATGTAGATGTTGGAGTGGTTGTAGGTGGAAACGTCGCAGAGAGTCAAGTCTGGTGGAGATGCACCTGCTTTCGTCGCAGTCAATCGTTTTGGAATAGCTGTGCCTGACGGGTTTCCGTTCAATGGGCTTTCGTATTGGCAAAGTGGCATGAAAGCATAAGCGCAGGAAAAGGGTATGGAATAAGCAGGGAACAACACACCAATTGAGTAGTGCGAATACAATAGCAGGCCCAATGAGCAGCAGGCAGCAGACTTGCAGAGCAGCCGACAACAGCATTGCGGACGCTTAATTGGGCCAGAGCAGAGGCACGAGCACAGAAAGGAATCGCATGCACAGAGGAAAGAACCTAATGGTATTACAAAAGCACAAACAGACCAACGTGAAAGCCACGACGTGTGAAGATGAAACGCAAACCAGAACCACGAGTCTGGCGGTCGCAATGCATATTGCGCCGGTTTTGTGTTTGAAATACGATCCCTGATTCGCTGGCAATTGAAATCTTGACGAACCCGAAAGCTGGGCAGCCGGCGTGCAATTCTGTTGTCTTAGGTGTCGAAGCGTTCCGAACCAAATCCAAACAAGCTGTTGGTGTTGTTAATCAGTTGCATTTCGCATTGTCCGTGATCATGAGGGAACTCACTCAACTGCTTTGCTCTTGCTGCTTTGAGGCCGACCGTTTGGACAGCCAATTTCATGTCCGTGCAAGCGATCGAGCTCGCCCTGCCTGTGTTGATTTATTCTGGTGTGGTGTTGGGGGTGGCGAGGCAGCCGGAAACATCACCGGCATCATCCCAACGCGATCAAAGCGAATTGCATCACAGCTATAGAGAGCCAAGATTCTCGGGGTGAGGGCATCAGTGCAACATCCCTGAGGCGCCAAAGCTGCTTCTCCCTTTCCTTCTCCTCTCCCTGTCCCTGTCCCTCTCCCTCTCCCTCCTTGTTTCTCCCTTGCTATGTGTTGCTTTGCAATTGATGTTATACCAGGTTGTACCAGGTTTGCGGCCCGATCGCCACAACCAGAAGCAAAGTGATCTCAAGTTTGTTCTTTGGCAGATGCTTTCCGAAGTGCCGGCCAGGTGCACAGCGCGTGCTCCTGAAGAAGGCTTGTGGCAGATCACCTGCTTGATTGGCCGCTACAAGGACAAGTGCTTGGCAGCAGCCGGAGTGTATGGCTCCGCGTTTCCGAACATGCAGGACACGCTGCGCATGCTTTGTGAGCTGGACGAGGATGGCCACAAGCCCGGGGATTGATGGCTCCGCAGCAATCGCAGTGACATGACATCAACCGACATGGCACACCAAGGCCGTCCAGACAAGTGCTGCGACACGGCAGCAGCATTCCCAGTCGAGGCAACTTCGGGTCAGAAGCTCGTGGATGTGGCACGCTAGGTCAACTTCTTGCTGGCGCCGGCAGCTCTGCGCGGGAAACCCAAGATCTGCAAGTCTTGCAATCACAATCGTTACTGCGCCTTGTCACTTCCGCATTGAGGTGAGTGCTTCGACCACGTGCTGGGCCAGCAGGCATGTTGCCGTAAACGCTTGCCATTTGCCGCAGACTTGCCGCCAAGGTTCTGCAGGAGATGAAGGTCATCCCCGTGCGGTGGTGTGTGCACACGGCCGTCCGCGCGGCGGTGTACCACACGCTTCCGTCGTGTCGGTCTCAATCTCTCCCAGCTGGGCTTGCTCGTGCTTGCTTCTTGTGCGCATTATATATCTGCTGAGGCAGCGGAGTGCCCGACATACCAATGAAGGGTGGGAGACGTGCGCTCAGAGACTGCTTGAATCCGGCATTCGGTTGTGGCAGGTTCCTGCGGGTGATTGATGCACTGCACAAGGCATCTTGGTATATGCACCACTACGGTGGTGCAGTTCTGGCAGCCGCGTTCTTGGAGCTCCTGGGTGGGAGAGCGTATTCATTGAGCACTTGTGTTGAAAGGTTGGTTGTGGTCCTTGTGGTTGTTGTTTTTCCCAGCATCCGGAATTCTCGGCAATCTCAGGATAGTTTATTTGGGTTCCCGAGGGAAGACACCTGAAGACAGAAAAGCAGCGGAAGACAATGAAAGAGCACAAGAAAGGACAAACGAAGGAAACAGTGAAAGACGGGATGGAACGAAGGAGGGGTTGCAGACAGAATGAGAACAGCATTAAAGATTCAAAGCCGGCCAGAAAAAGGAATTGACAGAATTGAGGAATTAAAGATAGACAGACAGAGTCGCAAAAAAGCAGAAATGGAAAATCAAGATTGACAGATCGAAAGACCGAACGAAGGCATGCGATAGCGAGTCATACAGCATTGGAAAAGCTGTTTGTTGATGTCGTGTAGAATCCTGCGTTTCATGGTGTTGTTGTGATGCCTTACGCAAACCCACATGAAATCGATGCGGAAATCCTCGAGATTGTTCAAGGTTTCGTAGGGCTTTTCTGAATTTCCTGGATATGTTGGCTTCATGATGACATCGACGACTTGGTCGTGTATCCCCCCGTCCTCGCCCACCTCTTGTTTCCTCCTTTCCCCCCAATAAAAGCCCTCCTCCTTGCTGGTGTTTCACGCTAGTGTCCTGGACGCAAGCGCTTGTGCATGCCCGGATTGACACCATGGCAGCGATGCTCTGCGGCTTGCCTAGGCGCTACATGGCCAGCCCTGATTGCAAAGCCCCGCACTTTGTGCATGTAAGCCGTTTGTTCCAGCTTGTGCTGAGATTTGGATGCGCCCATGCTCTCCTTTTACCCCCTTCCACCTCGTCCTTTGTGTTTCATTCCGTGCAATCCCCCGCTTCCCTTGTTAGTCCAAGCAGTGGAAAGTTAGGTTGCGCCAGCGGATTTCCGTGAGCTGACCGAAGTAAAGGCCGCTTGGTGTGCACGCATATTGCTTTCCCAGTGAAGTTGGGAACCTGGTGTCCCGCAATCCCCCTTTGCGACGAGACATTGCTCCGCTTGCTGCCTTCGCTTGTGCTTCACAACCTTAAGCATCTGCTTGGATGGATACTTCAATCAAATTTCAGACGGCATGAAAGGCAGACCAATTCTTGCCACTGGACCTCGTGAGCTTGCTGCAGAGGCAAGGATTCAGGCTGTGCCAGATGCTCAGAATGCACCTCGTGTCAGATCCTATTGACCTACTGATTTGGAGCTTGTGCACCAAGGCCCGCATTTCCAAACGCATAGTCTGTGTATGGGTCTGGAGTGGTCGGCAGCTTAGACGATGCCTATAGCAAATATGGCATGTGCAAGTGAACGATGCTTCTTGGCATGACCAGGCACTGTGAGCAGCATTGCTGCACGTGCGATTGTTTATCACAGTGCCTTAGGCATGGCGAGCAGCATTGCTGCATGTGCGATTGTTTATCACAGCGCCATAGTTGAAGATCTGATCGGCTTCTGAATTCGCATTCGTGCACCAGGTTGGCTTGCCACTCGTACCGGAAGGGCCAAAGTTATCGTACATTGATCTAGTCAGGAGGGGTTGTCACAGGTTTATCCTGCAAAACGACACGGGGCGCTTTGATCTAAAGACATCTCAATTTGACACCGGCTCATTTGTGAGGGTGGTGGGGCCATAGCCGTGCGGAGAACGGCACGGGAAGATCGCTGCTGCAAAGCAGCATTTGATGTACTCTTTGCATATTGTGCACAACTGCATGCCTGGGGTGAACAGTCGCTTGGACTTGGCGAAAAATTCTATGTCCTGCAGACGCCGGGCATATGTTTTTGTTTGCAAAGTCAATTGGGACGCGGGTTTTCCATGCAAGCATGCTGCAAGCTGGGCACCCATGGGAGGTGAACAACAGCACCGATGGCGTTGAATGGCTCATGAGCTTCCGGAGTAGATGGTCAGCATCACGATCCACCATGAACATCCGCACCCGCAATTCAGAAGCTTGGGCATCTTAGGCATGTCCGTGGCACGGATTCTGTCATCTTGCTCTCAGAAGAATGTGTAATCATAGTCGCTTACGACTGTACATAACATATATAGTATGTAATATACGATGCTTGCTGGGCTGTCGCCGTTCTCTTTGTCTACGTGTATGGTGTCATTCTAGTGCTTGGTCTTCTGTCCATGCAACTTGTATGCTGTCGTGAAAGGTTACAGTCTCATCGCGGATTTAATTCCTTTGACACATGAGCTATCCCGAGCACCAAGACTGCAACGATTGCAAACGTGTCTGAGACTCAGCCCGCCTGAGCTCACATGGTCGATTCGGCGGCCGGCGTGGAGGACGTCGGGAGAAGAGAGTGCACTTGCACAGTGGGGTGAAACACATCGTTTGCTGCGTTGCCTGGGTTCCAATGTCAGTCTACTTTGGCAGGCTGCAGGGTTTCGGAGTTTCGAAAGACAGTCATTGATAAATAAGATGTTGGGATGAGCACGGCCATAGTCTCGCTTGAGTATTGTTTAGACAGGCATGGATTGTAGATGGGGTCGGCCCATCCCGAGTTTCCGGAGTACATCAACGAAATTGCGTATCCGTGCAGCTCGGTTCACACGGTGATACAGCTTGCAACCACCAGATTTTTTTGGCATGCACAGAAATAGATCCTAGATACGTAGAGCTGCGGACACACCGAACAGAGCAGGATGTGGTTCGGATAGTAGTCCAAGTTCTTGTGGCTCATGGTGCAGAGTCGAGTCACAAGTTTGTCGTTCTTGACCGTTTTCGGCTTTATTTATGGTTGTCGATTTGATTCTTGCTACCTCTGTTGTTGTGATGTTCTGCTGAGAGAGAGGAAGCTGCACAAGCCGTGAAGCTGCCAACCGCGACACCCCGGCCGTGCCTGGCCAACGTTTAGCAGTTAAACACAAGACGTCGACAGCAAAAGTTGAGGGATGCTGGGTGAAGCAGAGCTGCTGTGCTCGTGATTGACAGATCGGAAACTCACGGAAAGCCGCCTTCAAGCCAGGTTTCCCGAAGCTCAGGTTTCAATTTTGGCTTCGATTGAGGGTTGGGGAAAGAGCCAGGGTGTTGGATACGCTGCGTGGCAGCCTGAAAGCGTGGTGTTCCACATGAAGCTTGTGCGGACAGACATGGCAAAGCACGTTCGAAGAGCAGGATGCATTATTGCAGTAAGGGCCACAGCCGAACTTCTGGGTTTCCAGACCAAGTGGATGTGATGCACGAATACCCGGCAATGCGGACTGTTTTTTGATCGTGCATTGTTGGATAATGCATGACCTATCTCATTCGGTTTTCTTGCATGAATAGGCCTCTCCGTCAACCCGGACAGGCATGCCCGATGACCCAAGGCCACTGAAGTTCACTGAAGAGTGCATGGACCTAGCAGTGTTGTCTGAGGCCGTTGAACTGCACTCCTCTGGCAGGCGATGGTCAGGTGGGCAGGGGGAAGATTCCAGATGTCCGGCTTCTTCAAGAAGATGTCAGAGGTTCTGCAACGTGTCCAAGGGTCTGCCAGGGCCTGCCGAAACTGTCGGGACTCTTCTGCGACAGCTACTCAACGCAGCAGTCCTGAATTCCGGCACATGCGAATGGTGAGTGTAGCCAGCACATGAGGACAAGATGAGCTTGTTGCCATGCTCCCTCAATTCGCAAGCCGCCCGACTACTGCAAAGCTTTCAAAGCATCTCTGTTCCCCGTCGTTTCGGGGAGTTCGGAATACAGCCCTGCTCAGCAGCCCGACAAATTGCAGTTGTGGCCGGCTCAAGATTTTCATGGTTGTGATTAAGTTTGGGTTGCGAGTATGCCGTCCCACCTTGTTGGGTTAACCCTCAGCTTGCTTTGAAACCTTGCAAAACTCCAAGCGTGTTTTGTGGCCAAGATCACGATGGGACATCGCCAGGTGGAAATTGCTTTGATGGCAACGGAGCACCCTGCCATCACAGCCGGGGCCTCTGCTGGGCTTACCTTCGCCCCTCCGAAGAATCAAGGTTTAGCGTTGTTGGGTTCTTTTGCAAGTGCTGTAAGTTGGGTTCATGTTATAAAGTTAGGTTCTTAATGGCCTTTCGGGCAAGTTCAAGTCGTACCCCCGGCTCTTTGAGGAATTCGGAAAAAGATGGCCTTCGAGCACATGAAGGACGCTTCGTGCCAGGAAGCTTCGAACCTCAGAGATCCTGGCCGTGCTTGTGGCTGCACTCTCTCAGGATGTATGTTGGCGTGTTCCAAGACTTGAACGAAGGGGGTGTAGTGTCACGACATGACGGTCCGCAGAGACCTCGTGCGCTTAAGTACCGTCATTTCCTACTGGTGCGCTAATTCACATGCCGGGACAGGCTTGCTGCATAACTTCGGAGCAAGGAAGGTGAAGCGGTGCCCAAAGGCCCAAGCCCAAGGCCAGAAGCCAGGAGGTTGTCACATCCACACTGTCAAAGCTTACTCGCCAAATCAAACTACTGCTGTTGACACACATGTCTAAGCTGCAACGGTGCCTCGAAAAACTGATTCGGGTGCCCGTCGCCAGCCCAGAAAACTGGCAAGACAGAGCTGCGGAAGAGCTGTTTGACTTGGGATCGCAATGTGGGGATAGAGCTGAAATTTCTAGAAATTTCCAGACTCTCGACATGTGACCTTGCATTGCTGGGGCTCTGACGTCGGAGAGGAAGCCAATCCGCTTCTGACGACTTGCGCGCCGTGGCAGGAGGGAGTGGTGGCATTTGGATTTAGGCTTTGTCAAGGTTCACGTTCGCGACAATTGCCAGAAGTACCGCCCAGCACCGTGAGTTCTCGCCGCAGGAGCTCGGTGACTTCCCGCCTGGAGCGCTCGAGACATACCGGCACCGTCGCGAGAAATGGGAGTTTAAGGAGATAGTTTTCAATCTGTTTTTCGGACTTGTTCAGGCTGGTTAGAGTGCAACTCTGGGTCAGGGCTGAGTCTGGGGCAAGTCATATTGGGCATGACCGGGTCAGCCCATCAGCAATCCAGAGAAGGCTGCCATCATCCTTGCAGAGGGTCGTGAGCTGGCGCTCCAGAATGCTGCAGGGCGCCAGGTAGAGATCTCTGTGATCACTGCTCCAAGGTCCGCCAAAGCTTTTGCGGCCTCGCTGCTGAAGCAGCTCGAGCAGCTAGCAGCTAGGCATCAAGGTGGTCGCACTTCGGTTCGCTGCACAACGTTGGTGTCCTCGTCTCACTTTGGCAGGTGCGACCTGTGAAGGGCAAGCATGCGTAGTTTACCCAACAGGGGCCCCCGCGTTTGAACGGCTGTGCACCTGCAGCTATCCCGTCCTCAAGTGCTACTTCATTGCGAGCAGAGGATTCCATCGATCTGGATGATTTGAAGCCCGACTGGGGAGACAAGGACAGACCGTCTGAGCTTTTCGAACTGTAGAGGCCGTAGGATCACTGTGTGCACACCAGCAGAGAGGTGGAGCGTCGTTTCTAGCCCAACAGCACGTCCCACATGCGCAGCTACTCTATTGCGTCAGACTCTGACCACACCGCCCTTCTGCCACCGCAGCAACCTCCGCCTTGGAGGAGACGGTACGGATGGCTAGACGATCTGCCATTGCATTTGCGCAGCAGCTGCTCTGTCGGATTCAGGAGGCTTACGAGTCCAAGAGCTCGCGCTGATTAAGTCAAACGAGAGTCTCGTGCTCCAGAGCGGCTGGTCCGTAGTGGAACACAGCATAGTGGCCATGTCGTGTCCGAGGATTTGGTTGTTAAGCTATGAAGTGGACTCCACAACGTCCAGCAA